CTCTAACATGTAAACTCACTGAGCAGGCCCTCAATCCCTCTGTTACTGTGTCACTATACCCCACTCCCTCTAATATGTAAACTCACTGAGCAGGCCCTCAATCCCTCTGTTACTGTGTCACTATACCCCACTCCATCTAATATGTAAACTCACTGAGCAGACCCTCAATCCCTCTGTTACTGTGTCACTATACCCCACTCCCTCTAACATGTAAACTCACTGAGCAGACCCTCAATCCCTCTGCTACTGTGTCACTATACCCCACTCCCTCTAACATGTAAACTCACTGAGCAGGCCCTCAATCCCTCTGTTACTGTGTCACTATACCCCGCTCCCTCTAACATGTAAACTCATTGAGCAGGGCCCTCAATCCCTCTGTTACTGTGTCACTATACCCCACTCCCTCTAACATGTAAACTCACTGAGCAGGCCCTCAATCCCTCTGTTACTGTGTCACTATACCCCACTCCCTCCAGCATGTAAACTCACTGAGCAGGGCCCTCAATCCCTCTGTTACTGTCACTATACCCCACTCCCTCTAGCATGTAAGCTGATTGAGCAAGGCCCTCAATCCCTCTGTTCCTGTGTCACTATACCCCACTCCCTCTAACATGTAAACTCACTGAGCAGGCCCTCAATCCCTCTATTACTGTCACTATACCCCACTCCCTCTAACATGTAAACTCACTGAGCAGGGCCCTCAATCCCTCTGTTACTGTGTCACTATACCCCACTCCCTCTAACATGTAAACTCACTGAGCAGGCCCTCAGTCCCTCTGTTACTGTGTCACTATACCCCACTCCCTCTAACATGTAAACTCACTGAGCAGGGCCCTCAATCCCTCTGTTACTGTGTCACTTTACCCCACTCCCTCTAACATGTAAGCTCACTGAGCAGGCCCTCAATCCCTCTGTTACTGTCACTATACCCCCCTCCCTCTAGCATGTAAGCTCACTGAGCAGGCCCTCAATCCCTCTGTTACTGTGTCACTATACCCCACTCCCTCTAACATGTAAACTCACTGAGCAGGGCCCTCAATCCCCCTGTTACTGTGTCACTTTACCCCACTCCCTCTAACATGTAAACTCACTGAGCAGGACCTCAATCCCTCTGTTACTGTGTCACTATACCCCACTCCCTCTAACATGTAAACTCACTGAGCAGGGCCCTCAATCCCTCTGTTACTGTGTCACTATACCCCACTCCCTCTAGCATGTAAGCTCACTGAGCAGGCCCTCAATCCCTCTGTTACTGTGTCACATTACCCCACTCCCTCTAGCATGTAAACTCACTGAGCTGGGCCCTCAATCCCTCTGTTACTGTGTCACTATACCCCACTCCCTCTAACATGTAAACTCACTGAGCAGGCCCTCAATCCCTCTGTTACTGTGTCACTATACCCCACTCCCTCTAACATGTAAACTCACTGAGCAGGCCCTCAATCCCTCTGTTACTGTGTCACTGTACCCCACTCCCTCTAACATGTAAACTCACTGAGCAGGCCCTCAATCCCTCTGTTACTGTGTCACTATACCCCACTCCCTCTAACATGTAAACTCACTGAGCAGGGCCCTTAACTCCTCTGTTCCTGTATGTTCAACTTGTCTGGTTACAACTACATGTCTGTTCGTCCACCCACTGTAAAGCACTGCGAAATTTGTTGGCGCTACATAAATATTAACATAATAATAACACACAATATCCAAGAGTCTCTGAGAAATAACCAGGATCTCAAAGCAAGTATGGTTGATGGAATTCAGACATTTGTTGCTGCAAAAGTTAATATATCCAGATAGACTATCGATACAATCCCCATCCAGTACATCCCCCCAAAACATTATTGAATTATTTTTCAAATAGTCAGAGCAGGGAGCCCAACATAAAATAAGCCTTCACAGAACATCTGCCAGCGTATACTTGTCATTAGGACACTTTACTCACCCTGTGAAATGTTTTGAAGACTTCTTTCCCACTGAGATTTAAAATATTCCCCAGAACAGGCAGTGGAGTGGGGCCAGGTGGCAGCCTTCTCTTGTCCTGTTTTGGGCCTCGTTTTAAGTATACAATAATGAAAATCAGACAGCTTATTAGCAGCAGGGTTGTACCTCCAAGCAGCTCCATTATCAGACTAGCATCGCCAGTGAAAACTCTACCCAAAGCTGGCATTGATACACCCAAACAGGGAATTTTGGAAACCTGTCTGACAGCTTGTCTGCTGTATACAGCTGTGCTCAAACGTTTGCATACCCTGACAGAAATTGTGAAATTTTGGCATTGATTTTGAAAGTATGACTGATCATGCAAAAAAATATATTTTATTGACGGATAGTGATCATATGAAGCCATTTATTATCACATAGTTGTTTGACTAATTTTTAAATCAGAATGATAACAGAAATCACCTTAATGGCCCTGATCAAAAGTTTACATACCCTTAAATGGTTGGCCTTGTTATAGACACACAATGTGACACACCCATGTTAAAATGGAAATTAAAGGTTAATTCAATTAGTGTCTGTGTATAAATAGTCAATAAGTTTGTTAAAATGCAAGACTACTATATAAGTGAATCAACACTTGGGAATTATTACAAAGTTATATCTTAACAGTACAGTGTTTCATTAATCAAACAAGCACCTTCACTGTGAGGTACCATTGGTGCCAAATAGCTTCATTACAGACCTGCAGGATATCATCAGTTTTATCAGTGCTCTTGGATCTCTGTAACCTGTGATGTAAGAGAAACCGCCACAAAGGAGTCAGTTCCTTTCTCGTTGGCCTCACTAATCAGCCTGTTTAAGACAATAACATTTTCTGACTTTACTATACTGGGATAAAACCAGTTTGAGAAATTTGTATCTTTATCATTTCAATAACTGTTGCGCATGTTTGACCTTGTCGTAGTGCACTGTGCTTTTATAATATATTTTATATTACAGTCACTGCACATTGAGATTTTGGCACTAAAATGTTAACTCTCACATATTCAAAATGAATTTCCAATTAGAGTCAAAAATAGCCAAAATTTAAAAATGTTACCCTAGTGAGTTTTATTTTATATTGGCCTCAAATTTTAAATTCACTTTGAATTCCAAAAAGTTCCTAATAAGAACAAAACGGAAACATTCCCACTGAATGGTAAACATTCTTCAGACCCAGCAGTGGATTGGCACTAGGGGGCATCCTTGCCTTTTTCTCTTTCCTGTCTTGTGTTGTAGTTTAACTATGGTATGACTTGTAAGATCAGTCATTAGAGTAGAATTTCTCAGGGAGCCTGTGTTGGCCCATGTATTAACATTTTAGGCCAGATCAGCAGATTTGTTGTCCAGTGATTGTTTTTGACTTGGTTTATTTAATCTAAACATTTGCAATCCTGCTCAATTACTGACAATTCCTGGTTTAGTGACTTACTGTCAGGCTGTGAGCAGTTGGGTTTTAATCCACCAAGCTCCATTCTGTATATTTACTCCTGATATTTATACAGCTAAGGGCTGAATTTGGAGACTGGTCTGTCTATTAAGTTCATATTACCTGCTTGTTTAGTAAGTGAGCACAGCGTATAGATTAATGACTATGCTGTAACTCAACTACTAAACAATATACGGCATATGAAACAAGTACATTTTATTTCTACATTTATGAATTAATAAGCATTATTTAGTATTAATAAGCCCTGGATTCTTTAAGACAGTCTGTGACATATGTTATCACTGGAGTTTGAATAATGTATGGGTTTCCAGGAAAGTAAAAGTACGTTTCCCTGGTGCCCGCTAGTTCTAAAAGGTCCTGGTTGAGCTAACGCAGAGCTCAGCTTGTCAGTAATTGTCTGTGCCAGTATGTATTGGGTTGGGGCTGGCCAATGGATGTGTAAGGTGACCCAAGAGTTCTGATTATTAATATGTTTAAAATTATGTGTGATGCATAAACATACTAATAATGCTTACGTATGTAACATTTATCCTGAACACCAATCCATAACGAGGATTGTAAATGTAACATGTAACCCTTAAACTAACCTGTAACCTACGATATCTCAGAACGCCCTAACTCCAATAAGTAATATAATCACTAACCTTAACTACTAAACAAAATGTCATCAGTGGTAGCTACACCGATCTAACCAATACTGGCTAAAATGTCCCATTTTGCTGCCTGTGAGTGGGGTAAATAATTAAATAAATAAATAGAGTAGAATGATAGAAGCTACTGTAGCTACTACGTTTCACCTCCTGAGCTAGAACTGACGTACGTTTTACCTCCTGAGCTAGCCCTGACATATGTTTTACCTCCTGAGCTAGGCCCGATGTAGCTAGCTCAGGAGGTGAAACGTACATCGGGGCTGGCTCAGGAGGTAAAACATATGATGTCTATGAATTCTCTTGGGTAGAGTTCGATAGTACTATCAGACAGCATGTGAGATCCATGTGCTCCCGTTGCGTATTGCTCATGGCCGCAATCCCAAAAGGTAGAAAATTACATTCTTCCAGACACACACTTATAGCCACAGGCTTGTGCAGAAGCAGAAGATATAAGTGTTTATTTTATCATTTTTTTAACCAAAAATAAACTTTTATTAATCACAAATGTTGCTTTCAGCATACCGTAGATAAATAAAATAATGCATACCTACAAAATACCTCTTTACCTATTTACCGGGTACATGTAGAAGTTCCTTGTGATGATTCAATGGGTGAAGTTTCGGATTGTAAATTTGATGGTTTCTGAAGAAAAAACTAATTTGATCTGTGCCTGTTTCATTTCCTCCGTATTAATAATGTCAGTGAACGATGTCTTCTTATCTATTAGTTTATTTTTATGAAGGGTCATGTGAGACAAGTATTCTAATACATACATTACACCTGGTGTATCCCCGAGCTTCTTTAAATAGTGAGAGACCATTCCATGTATCTACTTCCGTTGTTATAATACATGTGCTCAGTTAAATGTTTTAGTGAAACAACTAGAAAAGAAAAAGCTAAAAAGTCATTTACAAACACATTTAGCGCGCTATCAGGGACAGTTGGTAGGCGCGGGGACAGTTCCCAAATCCACTCAGTTCTGGGGTGAGGTCAATATCTTCCATAGCCACAGGGGAGCTCATGGTGAAGCTCTGTAGGATGGTGGTAAAAAATAAAAAGAGTTCCATTCGAGCCAAGCCCTCTCCAAGACAGATCCGCTTTCCTGTAACAGCAGAGAGAAAACGGCAATTCTGGTCACTAAACGTCCACTTGATGTCTGACCAATGATGTCTGAACTAGGTGGACAGTACTGGTGTATTCCCTGTGCTGAGATTCCCTATTTCATTTGAGTTATAATTAGAATTTTGGGTAGCAGTAGGTTCTTTGGAACGCGAACCACGCTTTATTCGGAGTACTATTTTCAAAAAGCCCTTAATGAGTTAATTTTCTCACTATTGAGTTGATATGAGTTTTAGTTGTGAAATTGGAAGCCTAAAGTTTGTTGAAGCTGGTCTACAAAGTGCATGGTTTTGTCATCTTTCTTACAGTTCTCAACACTTATTTTTTTATCTAGGATCTACAAGTCTGTAACTGTCTATTGGTATAAGTATATTTTTTATTTATATTAACATATTCCACTGTTCTAAATGTGCATAGAATGGCTTTATGAGACTAATTTTAACAAGTAAAAGCAAACCAGTAGTAAGAGTTGTGTCAATTTTTTTTAAAGATTTCTTTCTGCCATTTTGAATATGTGTTTCCCCATGAGGCTGCCCTAGCGTAATCATATTCATTGCTCGTGATTTACGTTCTGTTTATAGGGAGTGCATCTTAGTTGAAGCTAACGTGGGCTCAGATATAAAATTTTTGGATAAGTTTTCAAAATGATTTCACAGTTTTGAATAAACTTTTTCAAATCATTTGTTCAACATATTAAAATCTAAAAATATATCAAATATAAAAAATATATATAAATGTATTGGAAAATAACACAATATTACAACATTAAAATATTATAATAATTTTAAAAGGGTTTAAAAAAATATTAAATCACTTCGAAAGTTTATCCATCACTATTAAACAGAGACCTTATTATTATAGTTTAATGATTTAGTGTTTAAGGTCACCTGCCGCCCGACTCCCAATGATGTGGTAGTAACCCTTTAAGCCATTAGTGACTGGCCGAATTTGACCTGTATGATGTCAATCTAACTAGAAACCTATACTATAACATGTAACTGTATCAAATCATGTTTTTGGAAAAAACGAATACCTGAGGAAAATGGCATGAAGGCATCATTTTTGAAGAATTTCCCCTCGTTATCCAGGAAATGGCCCGGGTTGAATTCATGTGGATATTTAAACTGCTTGGGGTCCTGCAGGACTGAGCTAAGCAATGGATAGACAGTGGTATCCTGAGAATTGGAGAGAGAACCTTGATTTAGAGCAATATTCAGACATAATATCATGTGTTAGGCTGAAAAAAATATTTAATGGTTGGAAAATAATAGATTTATTATAGAAAAATAACCTACGTTAGGGAATGTGTATAAAATGATAGTGCTTACTTAATCGGCTTGGATGGACATCCAAATTGATCACAATAGGGATTCCCTATTTTTATTTTTTTTTTAGTCTCAAGACTCCCAATAAACACCCTTAGTTCTGGAACTTTCAATTTACCACTTGGTATTCTTTGTGGGTCCTTCGTGGAAGACCTCCACTTCCACCTATTTGAATTGTTTTGACCCTGGAACCGACCATGATTTTTCAAAAATGCATAGTTCTACTTGTTTATTACTACATGTCTTAAATTTCTTGATGACATTTCAGACAGTGGAAACTACGATCAGAAAACATTTATATATCTTTTTAGAACCTCCCTTGCTTTATAAGAGCCACTTTTTTTTTATTTTCTGACTCTCAGTCAGCTGCATAGAGAAGCCATTGTTTATTGAACATTTTGATTTTCTAGAAGTCAGATTCGTTTTAAAACTCTAGAATTGTTGTCCCGATAGTGTGGTCAAAGTTTAACGAGTCAAGATTGACAATTAAGGCTCTGAGAAATGACTAATGAATGGCCTGAAATGGTGCCAGAACACACGTTCATGTCACATTTACAGTTAAGTTTAGTACATACATAATATCTGCGGATTACAATTTGCAGAAATGTTGAGTTTGTATTAACTTTTTAGAGATTGTTTTGACTTCTTTTTTGTTTCCAAATTAACAAGGTACACAAATGTTTAAAACAACTGCAGATACCACTCGGTAAATAAGCTGGTACCTTTAGACAGAGTCCTGGTTTACATTACACTGTAACATTTATTTACAGTAATTATGAAAAATTCAGCTTGACATAACCAGCTGTCGGCCGTAGGTCAGCATGACACTTGAAAACTATCAAAGTGATGATCACACACTTACCTTTGGAATAACATAGTCCATAAATTCAATGTCTCGTGTGACTTTATGAGGAACTCCCAAAGGTAAGAGGTCAATGTATCTCTGGATCTCATGAATGACTGCATCTGTGTACGGCATACGTGAACGATCTTCGATACATGGGGCTCTGATTCTGCCAATGACTTGGTCAATCTCCTCGTGAACCCGATCTGAGGGTGAGGAAGATACTTATTGAATGTGATACTGGAAATCTTGAAATTAAACATTAAGGGTTTCGGTTTTAAGATACTACTTATCTTGCTGAAATGCTTTATGTGTGAAGAGTGTGTCCTCTTTTCTTCATTTAGCAAAAACTGCAGATTTCAATAGAATGTTACACTTTTGTAAATTAACCTTGTTACATTCCTCTGGCTGTCAATCATACAGCCGGTCCTGTTATTTCCTGGTTTGTATAGCTCATTGGAGATAAACTTAAGAGGCAGCAATTGCCCAGAGCACCTGCCTTGTGAAGACTACTCATTGCGCTGCATTGGGAAGTATGTGATTGGACAGCCACAAACTGGGTGGGTTTAGAAGGGGAGGGCTTGCAAAGGCTGCAGACAAGAGATCTGCAGCTTTTACAAGCTGTGTTTAGTTATACCACCAATGGGAAAAAATACACAATAAGGTATCTAATAAACACATGTAGTTAAGGAGCTATTTACTAAACAGAGCTCAATTTTGATATTTCAGCTGTTTTATAAGATAACTCTCTAATTTGGTATCCTTATGTGGGATTGTCATTTTTAAGGATACCAAATAAGGGAACTATCTGCTAAACATCACAATAATTTGGTATCCTTAAATATTGCAATCTCACATGAGAGTGCCAAATTAGTGACCTATCTACTGAACAGCTGAACAGCATTTAAGAAGATAGTTCCCTAATTTCCAATTCTGCATTTATCACGTACATTCTTTATACAGCAAGCCACAATATCAAAACCACTGGCTGGTGAAGTGAATAACATTGATTATATTGTTACAATGGCACCTGTCATGGGGTGCAATATATCAGGCAGGATGAAGAGTCAGTTGTAAGCAGGAAAAATGGGGAAGTGAAAAGATATGTGACTTTGATAATGGCCAAACAGTGATGGCTAGACCACTCGGTCAGAGTATCTACAAAATGAGTGGTCTTGTGGGATGTTCCTGGTATGCAGTGGTTAATACTTACCAAAAATGTTACAAGGAAGGACAACTGGGGAACCCCCATCAGGGTCATGGGTGTCCAAGAATAATGAGGGTAGTGGATGCATGGAATAGCATTCCAGCTAAAGTGGTAGAGGTTAACACAGTAAAGGAGTTTAAGCATGCGTGGGATAGGCACAGTGGTGTATCCTGGTTTTGTGCTGCCCTAGGCAGGACAAAACTCAGGCGCCCCCCTCCCCCCGCGCCACCCCCACCCAACCCTTCCCCCGCCCCACCTTCTAAATACACACACACACAGTCAGACACAAACACACACACACAGTCAGACACATACACAAACACACACACACACAGTCAGACACATACACAAACACACACACACAGTCAGACACATACACACACAGTCAGACACAAAACACACACACACACAGTCAGAACACACACACACACACATACACAGTCAGACACAAACACACACACAGTCAGACACACACACACACACGAAGTCGGTACACACACAAACAAACACACACACAACACACACAGTCACATACACACACACAGTGACAACACACACACACACACACACACAGTCAGACACATACACAGACACACACAGTCAGACACATACACAGACACAAACACACACACATACAGTCAGACACATACACAGACACAAACACAGACACAAACACACACTCACAAACACACACAGTCAGACACAAACACACACACACATTAACTTTTTTTTAAATTTAAATCCCCCCCCAACCTCCTTACCTTTGGGAGTGCTGGGGGGGGGGGTCTCTCTCCCTGGTGGTCCAGTGGCTGCAGGGCGGGCGGCGCTGGCAGGGCGGGCGGCGCTGGCAGGGCGGGCGGCGGGCGGCTGGCGAGGGAGCACTTCCCATGAGCTGACTGCTCAGCTCCCTCGCGCGTCGGCTGCAGAGTGAGGCTGGGAGCCGGAATATGACGTCATCTTCCGGCTCCCAGCCTCACTTTGCGGTGCGCGAGGGAGCTGAGCAGTCAGCTCATGGGAAGTGCCCCTCGCCGGCCGCCCGGGATGTCAGTTCGCTGCAAGGCTAACAAGGCATCTGCCCTGGGCATTTGGGGGGCGGCGTTTTTTGCCGCCCCCTGAAAAATGCCGCCCAAGGCAAATGCCTTGTTTGCCTCGCGGCTAATACGTCCCTGGATAGGCATAAGGCTATCCTAACTATAAGATAAGGCCAGGGACTAATGAAAGTATTTAGAAAATTGGGCAGACTAGATGGGCTGAATGGTTCTTATCTGCCTTTACATTCTATGATGCACGTCGGTAGCAAAGGCTAGTCAGTCTGGTCCGATCTCACAGAAGAGTTTAGTAGGTGAAGGGAAGGGGTTAATGATTCTCATCTATAATTTCTGATATTATATTCTCTTTCTTAAGATTTACACAAGAGCTAAAAACTAGACAAACCACAGGTTATTTTTGATTTATCACTTCTGCTTTTGAATCAACAGACGCATCCGCAAAGTAACGTTGACCTGATGCTTCCAAGAAAAGTATCATGGAAAATAAGACATGCTTGACCACAAGAAATGTGGTCTTCTGCAAAAATCAGCTATTTCCGCTTTTATTTTGACCAATGTATGTCAACGTTCATGATCAATACTGTATAAATATGCCATCCTTTTTATAATACACTTGAAGATCTTTGGAAAAGCAAACTGTGTGCGTGTTTCATTTTGCTCCATCGTTCTTCCCTGAATTCAGCCAACAACGGAGACCAGAGAACGCCTAAGTTGGACCGAGTCACTTAGGATAGAACTTACCTTTCAGCAGGTATACATAAAACAGCTTGAAAAAACTGCAGAACTCTTGTCTGCAGCTTTTGCTAGTCCTCTCCTTCTAACCCCGCCCATACTTTCTGTGGCTGTGCAATCACAGTCTTCCCAATGCAGCTCATTGAGAAGTGTCCCTCAGTCAGGTGCTCTGGGCAATTGCTGCCTATTGACTTCAATGGAAATAAGCTAACCATAACAGGAAGTAACAGGAGCCTTTGACTGCTTTAAAAGCCAAGGAGGTGTAACCAGTATAATTTCTATTGTTTACTATTTCCAAAATGAAAAAAAGAAGACACAATTTTCAGACACAAAGCTTTTTAGCGAGAAGTGCTTTAGGGGCCTGGAGTGTCCCTTTAATGCTGACCATGATAGATAGATGCCAGAATACAGTGCATCGCAATTTGCTGTCTATGGGCTGCTTTGCCGTCAGAGTGGCCCCATTTCACAGGACACTTTCAGGGGTTGCAAAGCATCCAAACTGTTTTGGCAGCACAAGGGGAACCTACAGGTTATTAGACTGGTGGTTTTAATGTTGTGGCCAATCAGTTACATTCTATATACATTATACAAGCAGTATATACATTCTGTGTAGATGCAGCATATACATTTTGTGTACATGCAGCGGGTAACCCTGAGGTAAACTTTACTGCTCGTTCTGGTGTAAAAAAAAAATCCTTTATTGCTAGCTTCAATAAAACTTCACTTTGACATTCAATGGTTAAAGGCTCCTAATACACTAAATAAGTTAAACCCTCGCTTCTCTCCTCACTTGATAGCGGAACTGTTCAGGTAAATCCTCACCCGAGAATGTGAATTTGTTAAACAAACCATTGTGTTATAAAACTTGGCATTATAGTTCGTACCTGGAAAAGTGACAATACCGCTAGCCAGAGATAGGGGAAGCATGGCCCAAACTGGGAAACGTAAAGACAACGTAATGCAACCAAAAAGACTAAACAGTGGTGGAAAATCCTTATTGTCACCCAATGTATATCTACATCTACCTGAGCTATTGGGGCACCCCTTGATCTCAATGATGTGATGTTTTATTTATTGAAGTGATTATTTTGGTTAATTTATTTATTTTCCCATTATAGTTTTTACATTAGGTGCAACGTTTTACTGTCTGATGCAAAGTTCAGATGGAAGTTATAAAGCAGTAGTTGTGGAATATATAAGGCTTTAACTTGTTTAGTCTTGACAAATTGCTTTGCACACAGAACGCGCACCGTGTCCTATCGATGTTGGAGTGTTTAACCGCTGTATGTCGATGTGATATTTTATTGAATCTAACAATAAACGAGCAGTGATTACGTTTTTGGTCAGGATTCCCAGCATTTACCCAGTATTTGATTTGGAAGACAGATTGTCAGTTCGCCAAACCATAAGGTGGGGGCTTTAAATGTACATGTTGATTAAAGAACGCCATAGTGGCGATTTGTCATGTGAATATTTCAAGTTTCAAACTTCTGCAGAGAGTACCTTCCAATGTACAATTTTCCTTTGTTTGATATACATTCTATATACATGCAGTGCTTCCATTCTATATACACACATCTCAGATATTCTATATTTGTGGTCGGAACTGAATCGTAAACGGGACAGTAGAAGGAGTGGTAAGTTGGTAGTGTTGTGCTGATACCAACGTACAGGTAGGCCTGTATAAAGAGGGCGAATCAAGGAAATGGGGTGTAATAGTGGAATTAATTTAAGGGAGCGGTGGGTGAAGTCACTTGAACGGAAAACGTCACAGGTAAGCAGGTGAGATTGCGTTGCGTACGTGTAGGCCTGTATAAAAAGGGCCAAAAAGGTATCAGTGAAGAACACCCTTTAGCATGCTTACAAAGATGAATTTCGATAAACTTTGAATGATTCCCTGAGCTCTATTCATGAAGCGGAATCTAAGTACAGAATACATGGATAACCTTCTTTTCAATTTAATGATGTGGACTGGGATGAGTGGATGCCTGTAAAGTAACTGCAACAGATTAGAAGCTGTTGCGTGTAGGTATTTGTGTATCTAGTATTAACAGGGGTCCCGTTGTTGTCTGTCGGGAACAGTGATATGTGGTTGGATGGTTGATCTGGTTAGTTTGGAAATGAGAATGTAGGGGTCGATGTGTTTGACAAGGTCGGAGTTGACTTCATATGGTGTACCACTGTGATTTCTCTGGGTCTTGAGAAACTGTGAAAGGCAATATAATTGTTAGTGCATAATTGTCTTTACTATCGAATGGTTTGGTATCCGATAAATCGGGTAGACTCCTGAATATATGTTCGGTTAGGGGTAGTCTAATGGATGAAAGAGAGCGGTCTCTTTGTGATGCCTTAGGAGATTGTTGTAATGGATTATGAGGAAAGAAAGGGAGTATGATTGGGAAAAGTATTGAGGTAGTGATGTAGTATTCCTGGAAGGTAAGTATTAATGGTGTTATGTGTTATTTTGTAAATGATAGAAAGGCCCAAAAGTCATCATGGTCTCGATGTAGTGATTTCCTGTGGAGGGAAGCTCAAACTTAACCTACTAAAACCTGTTAATGCCCTGACGTAAGTTGTTTTGGTATTCATGGAACGAGTGTGATGGAATAGTGACTGTGCGAGTAACATAAATCCATAACCCGGTTCGGTAAATGCCAGGATTTTGTCGGACGTATGTTGATGGTGGGTGACAGTTGAACATTGTTGAAATTGAGGTCGGGATAGTATGACAGCTGTGATGTTATCCCCCCTGGACCAGCGCCTGAACCTAAAGGTTAGTTCTCTGTCCCCGTACCGGGGCTTGAAACATATCATATGTGACCGTAATGTTTAACGTGCCTAACTTGGTAAACAAGATGGTCTCTAAGAGAGAACCTGGAAAGTACACTCTACAGAGATTGGACAACCAGATTACCATGAAGTGTGAATAGCTAATAGGGAAAGTGGAAAGATGGACTCCACTTACCCTTAGTAATAGATGGTGCGCGTATTTGAGGGAAAAGCCTGACTGTGACCTATGAGTAATATCTTATAAATGTAAAATCTGATATCTATTAACAGAGGGAAAACATACAAGAATACAGTATAAAATAATTCTTATGATGATGGCACTCAACAGGGAGAAAGGTGCAGGTATCGAGGTCACTGTAAAATTCAACCTCCAAAATTATAATCAACTAATAAATAGAAGAATGCACTCAAAATAATGTAACAAAGTATTCTATTGGAATTTTGTACAAAAAGACAATCAGAACCTATATTCACAGTACATTCGAAGGGAAAACACAATTACTTGTGTGCCTGTAGAGGCACCATACATTCTATATACACACATCACATATATTGTATATACACACAGCACATACATTCTGTATGCACGCATCATATATGCTAACTATACTCATCACATATATTCTATATACACGCATCACATATTCTATATACACACAGCGCATACGTTCTATATATACGCAGCGCATACATTCTATATAAATGCAGCATAACATTCTATATACATGAGTATTTTAGATAGAAAGTATGTACTACACATATTTAGAATGTTTATAGAATGCACGTGATACCCACATATTCCAAATTAGGGAGCCATCTACTAAATAGCTTAATTGCTGGATTTAACCATTCTCACACCAGAACTGCAGGGCATTACCTGCTGTCCTAACAGTGTTGAAGCCCACCATTTTTAGGATGGTATGGAACGTCCTAACGTCGGGAAGGGGTTAAAAAAACAGCAAGAGAAATAGCTAACATTTAGTTTTAATGCAATTATCTCACAGATAATTTCAAATAATTTTTCATTTATTGCTGGTATAAATATTGAATATTCATGTAACTAAATGCACAGTGTGTATTAGACGGTCAGTGATGGCCACCGGACGACAGCAGAAGGTCTGCACTGTAGAAATACAGCAGATGTCCATAAAGTACTCACCTTCCACATCTGGGTGCTTGAGAAGGATCATCAGGCCGTACCGTAGGGTAGTACTGACTGTTTCTGTGCCGGCTACAAACATATCTAGTGTGGTCTTAACAAGAGCGTCCATATGAAACTCAGAGTTTGGTATTGTCTTCTCCTGAAATGATAAAGCCAGTTTTAATTGTATCACTTGTATGGTATCATCATGTGTCATATTCTGTAAATTGTATATATTTACATAATACAGAGACCACCCACAGCTGTCACAGTTCCCAGATATCTCTGTCTATCAATTTGTAAAGTTTACAAACTTGTGTTAGACTCACCTGTTCCATCTTCATGAGGAAAGTGTCGATAAAGTCTCTGGAGGAGTTTGGGTCCATGGTCTCTTGGTGCATTTTGACTCTTTCAACAATAAATTCCTGAAGCCCATCAATTGATTTGCAAAAGGTCTGGTGGGGTCCTGGGAATGCCCTCATTATTTTTGGATACACATTATACAACTATAAGAGATAAATTGGAATTACTTTATGAAAAGAAGATTTATTTACATTTACAGGGGTGTGAAATTTATAAAACATCTAGTTGTCCAAGGGACGAAAGATGTAGTTCAATCCACTCGTTTGTCACGGCAATCTATTTGTTTGGTGCACAAAATAATTTCAGTTTTTGGACCCAGGTAGAACCCTGGATTTTGACAGTCCTACATGGGACAAACCCATGTGGGAACAAAGTTAAATAATGATAGTGACATGTTTATTGGGTTAAAGGGACAGTCCTATGTAGGAACAAAGTGACCTAATGACCGTGACATGTTTAATGGGTTAAAGAGACAGTCCCATGTAGGAGCAGAGTGACCTAATGACAGTGACATGTTTAATGGGTTAAAGGGACAGTCCCATGTAGGAGCACAGTGACCTAATGACAGTGACATGTTTAATGGGTTAAAGAGACAGTCCCATGTAGGAGCAAAGTGACCTAATGACAGCGACATGTTTAATGAGTTAAAAGGACAGTCCCATGTAGGAGCAAAGTGACCTAATGACAGTGACATGTTTAATGGGTTAAAATGACAGTCCTATGTAGGAGCAAAGTGACCTAATGACAGTGACATGTTTAATGGGTTAAAGGGACAGCACCTAAGATCATTAGTGCTCACCTGTCCCCGAACAGAGCTGATTCCTCTAAGTATGTTATTTATTAGACCTAAAAGTATAAGAAAATTCTTGTCTTCATATTCAAACCGATTTCCGAAAACCACTGAACAGATGACATTAGACACAGCTTTGCTGAAATAGAAGATGGGATCCAGGAGTTGACCTGGTGAAGCAAAACAAAACATAATTATACAAACACACTTTTACAAAACCTTTTCCAGGTTATGGTACTTGGAGTGATTAAAGGTCATTATGATAGGTGACCAGACCCAGTGAACAGGACAACAAGTCCTAGGTGTGATCAATAAAACATAAAGGTAAGTATATAAGGTAAGTGAACATTGCTCATTATAATAAAGTATAATGGTGTTACAGTCAAATTATCTGCAATAGTGCTTTGTCCTTTTCGTGTGTGAACATCACACTGAATCAATGCTTCTCTATGAGGAAGGTTCAGTGTCTCCATGCAGAGGGTGGAGACATTGAATGTCAGTCACACTGTGCAGCACTGCCCCAGGAAGCCCCTATAGCAGCCATCGGAGGAGTGGCCAGTGGAGGTATCCCTTGGTTGTAATGTAAACACTGCATTTTCTCTGAAAACCAAGCTAAATGTCTCATCCATTGCTTGTTGCCAAAGTCTTAGTTGGGAGGAGTGTTTATGCAATCAGGGGACTGTAGCTTTTTTTGGTTTTGTTTTTTTTAAATCCATGAGCTGATGAAGTTTTTTTCTAACTATTTGTCTGCAGACCAAATAGTCTGGGGTTTAGAACTCACTTCCCAAAAGCCAAGCGAGTTACAATGACCACATTTGTTTGGTCCAGTCTTTGGTTAAAATTGATGTATTGTAAATGCCCTATACTTTGTACAGAATTTGCATGTGGAAAACATCGATTTTAAAGCTGTAAATACAAGAATTACAAATCTGTTTAGAGTCTGGTCATTTTCACCAAATCCATTTGGAATCAAATCAAATCAGTATTTAGTGATTAAAACCATCCGTGTTTGATGTGTTTCTTTAATGTACAGTATCTCTCAAAAGTGAGTACACCCCTCACATATTGTAAATATTTTATTATATCTTTTCATGTGACAACACTGAATAAATTACCCTCTGCTTCAATGTAAAGTAGTAAGTGTACAGCCTGTATAACAGTGTAAATTTGCCGTCCCCTCAAAATAACTCAATAACTTTAATCCGTTGGTATTTTGTGTGGCCACCATTATTTTCCAGCACTGCCGTAACCCTCATGGGCATGGAGTTCACCAGAGCTTCACAGGTTGCCACTGGAGTCCTCTTCCACTCCTCCATGACAACATCATGAAGCTGGTGGATGTTAAAGACCTTGCGCTCCCCCACTTTCCATTTGAGGTTGCCCCACAGATGCTCAATAGGGTTTAGGAGACATGCTTTGCCAGTCCATCACCTTTACCTTCAGCCTCTTTAGCAAAGCAGTGGTCGTCTAGGAGGTGTGTTTGGGGTCGTTATCATGTTGGAATACTGCCCTGTTGCCCAGTCTCCAAAGGGAGGGGATCATGCTCTGTTTCAGTATGTCACAGTACATGTTGGCATTCATGGTTCCCTGTAGCTAACCAGTGCCGGCACCACTCATGCAGGTCCAAGCCATGACACTCCCACCACCATGCTTGACTGTAGGCAAGACACACATGTCTTTGTACTCCTCACCTGGTTGCCGCCACACACACTTGACACCATCTGAACCAAATAAGTTTACCTTGGTCTCATTGGATCACAGGGCATGGTTGCAGTAATGCATGTCCTTAGTCTGCATGTCTTCAGCAAACTGTTTGTGGGCTTTCTTGTGCATCATCTTTAGAAGAGGCTTCCTTCTGGGATGACAGTATTGCAGACCAATTTTTTTCAGATTCTCAGAGAGTTCTTTGCCATGAGGTGCCATGTTGAACTTCCAGTGGCCAGTATACACCAAATGTAACACACCTGCTCCCCATTCACACCTGCGACCTTGTAACACTAACGAGTCACATGACCCTAGGGAGGGAAAATGGCTAATTGGGACCAATTTGGACTTAGGGGTGTACTCACTTTTGTTGCCAACAGTTTAGACATTAATGGCTGTGTTGAGTTATTTTGAGGGGACAGCAAATTTACACTGTTATACAGGCTGTACACTTACTACGTTACATTGTAGCAGAGTGTCATTTCTTCAGTGTTGTCAAATGAAAAGATATATTTACAAAAATGTGAGGGTGTACTGACTTTTGTGAGATACTGTAACTGAGATATAATCTGATTGTGCCGGTTATATGTTATTTGATCCATAATACAGCCAATCCTTCTATATTTCAATTTCTGTGACTGGTCCAATACGCAGGGAGAGATCTTATTTATCAATTTTAATTGTAATTTACTCACCCTTGGTCTTTCGTAATTCCTCAGTAAGAAAATAAGATTCTTCCTGGATCCTCTCCTCAATGCTCCTCTTCCCCACCCCAAAGTTTCTCATCGTCATCAGAGAGAATCGCCGCAGCTGTTTCCAGCGCTCACCGTTACTGTTAACGATACCTAATGTAACGAAGAGGACAGAACAGGAAATAATGACAGTCAACGCAGGCCCTGCTGCTCTTCTGGACCAACCCCATAAACCCATTTAAAACAAACAAACAAAAGATTTAAAGATTGAAGCTCCTATAATGTGGGGATATGGGTATTGCAGTGCTGGCTAGCATAGACCGATTAGCATTCTGTCAGATCACGCCCATATTACTGTTATGGTCGAGTTTGCCTCTTAGCACTCAGGTATTCTGTGATTAGTTCAATAAAGGGATTTGTACTAGTCCATATATAGTAATCAGTAATACAAGGTTTGTAATAGGCTTTTACTGTTGATCTCGAGATCAGGTTGTGATTTAATATTTTTTTTTCTAGAGTGAATTATTCTAGTGGGGTGTACTTTATTTATACAGGTGATTACTAGAGGATATGATACTTTATTTATTTTTTGCTACACGGTTACAGATCACTGTTTGCCTACTCTGTTAATCATTACTATCCATAATCAGCCATCCTTTTAACCACCAGCTCACCAGCAGGATAACATATTTTAGTTTAGCGTTGCTATCTAGTAATTATTATCCTGCTCTCTCTCTGTGGAGTTACTTTATTACTCTTTAGGTAGAGACGAAGTATCTCCCTCTGTAGCTAAGTATTTAACATTATAATGTGAAGACCTTTAACAACCTCAGTCTATAGCATTTGTTCATTTATGTTCGTATTCACAGTCCACTGAACTACACTGAATTATACTGAAGCAAGTCTGATAGCAGTTTCATATACCCCTTCCCTATTTATAGTTTTATTGAATTCAGTATGATCAGTAACCTGGGGTCAATCTACAAATATTAGATGGTTAGCGTTAGATGGTTAGCGTTAGATGGTTAGCGTTAGATGGTTAGCGTTAGATGGTTAGCATTAGATGGTTAGCATTAGATAGTATTAGATGGTTAGTGTTAGATAGTTAGCATTAGATAGTTAGCATTAGATAGTATTAGATAGTTAGCGTTAGATAGTTAGCGTTAGATAGCTAGCGTTAGATAGTATTAGATAGTTAGCGTTAGATAGTTAGCGTTAGATAGTTAGTATTAGATAGTATTAGATGGTTAGCATTAGATGGTTAGCATTAGATAGTATTAGATGGTTAGTGTTAGATAGTTAGCATTAGATAGTTAGCATTAGATAGCATTAGATAGTGTGCGTTAGATAGTTAGCATTAGATAGTTAGCATTAGATAGTATTAGATTGTTAGCATTAGATAGTTAGCGTTAGATAGCTAGCGTTAGATAGTATTAGATGGTTAGTGTTAGATAGTTAGCATTAGATAGTATTAGATAGTTAGCGTTAGATAGCGTTAGATAGTTAGCGTTAGATAGTTAGCGTTAGATAGCTAGCGTTAGATAGCTAGCATTAGATAGCTAGCATTAGATGGCTAGCATTAGATAGTTAGTATTAGATAGTTAGTGTTAGATAGTTAGCATTAGATAGCATTAGATAGTGTGCGTTAGATAGTTAGCATTAGATCGTTAGCATTAGATCGTTAGCATTAGATCGTTAGCATTAGATAGTATTAGATAGTTAGCATTAGATAGTTAGTGTTTGTCACATCCTGTTCCTAGCTACGAATCATTCTGGCATTGCCTTCTGGTATCCAGTACTCTTTTTACAATTCTTGTTTAGTTTTTCTTTGTTTTTCTGGTTTTCTATTCTATGTCTGGTTTTCTTTATGCTGGGTTTCTGGGTTCATTCCTGTATTCCGTTTCTGGAATTCCCAGTCTCCTGGATTCCTTTAAATGTTTGTTTTTTGTTGCCACGCCCGTTTTATCCTTTTTGTTTCAGTCTGTTCTTGCAAACTTTGGTCTCATTCCTCTGCTCCTTTCCTTGCAGGTAAGTGCTGTGTGTGTTTTATTGTTGTTTATTTAGTCATACATATCTAAGCATTTAGGACCCACCATAATTGGAGTACTTTGGTGGGCTGCATACATCTTGGCCATTTATGTATGTCTAAATCTCCAATGTTTATTACATATATAGTACTTAGTTATGTCTCCTCTTGTTTTGCCTTGTATCTCTTGTCTTGTTTTATTTTTGTATTGTATTCCCAGTTCATGTACAGTCCATGTCCTGTTCCCTCATGTATTGTGTACATGTTCTGGGTTCTACTTTCTGTCCTGCTCTGGTTCTGGGTTCTTCTAGTCTTGTCTTATCTTGTTTGGTGTCTGTTTTAGTCTTACCTTGTTTCTAGCACTGGACCCATATCTGCAAAATATCAAGCTCCTGGGATCCACAGAAGCTGCATCAGTGCCCTGGCAGGGGGCGTGTGGTTACCCTGCACCAGATCCATATAGTTCATTTCCATGCTGTGACTCCTACCATCATCAGGCATACAGTTTCCAGACGCCACCCATGACAGTTTTTTAAAGAGTTAGTATTACATGGTTAGTATTAGAGAGTTGGAGTTAGATAGCTGGTGTTAGAGGGTAAGCATTAGAGGGTCAGTGTTATAGGATTAGGGCTAGAGAGTTAGCATTAGAGACAGAGGTGGCTCTCTAATTAGGCGATTTAGGCCACTACCTAAGGCCTTGCATGGTCTGGGGCTTTGCAGCCTCCTAAATCGCCATAGGGCAGACTGACATGTTGGGTCTTTGGCCTATGACCCAGGGCCCGACACAGGAGGGGGCCGGGCGGCTTGCCTATAATGCCGCTGGGTGCGAGACCCCTCCAGTAAGTCTGCCCAGGAGAGAGCCAGCCTTCAGTCTGCAGCTCTGTCGGGTTACCACGGCCATGCTCTGACTGGAAACTTACCACGTGGTCTGCAGCTCTGCACCTGGCGAAAAGGGAGCCCACCAGGGATACAGCCTGCCCACAGGACAACCAGGGATACAGCCAGCCCACCGGACCACCAGGGAATACATTTAATAAAAATGAATTTTTGACCCCCTCCCCTGTCACAGTCTCCACTCCCCTACCACCCCCTTCCCTGTCACAGGCCCCCCTTACCTGGCACAGATACCCTACCACCTGTATCCTATCACAGACCCCCTGCCCTGTCAACCCCCTTATCACCCCTGCCCTGTTACACATCCCCACCGCCCCCTGCCCCAGACCCCTACCACCCCCTGCTCTGTCACACCCCTTACCACCACCTACTCTGTCACACCCCCTTACCACCCCCTACCGCCCCCTTCCCGCTTAATCTGTGAACCAAATGGCAGGAAAATGTACCTTTAAGAAGTCTGGCTTAGTATTAGAGAAGAAAGGATCAGGTTTGTTCTTACCATGACCTCCAGAGCTCATCTTGTCTAGCAGTGGCATGTGCCCCCGGCCACTAAATACGTCTCCATTGTCAATAAGAGCCAATTTCACCACGTCATAGCCACAGAGCACCACAACGCGCTCCATCCCCATGTAAACGGTATATACCGGACCGTACTGCTCGGCAAGCTGCCGGAGGAGGTTAATAGAGTTCATAGTTTTTAGATAATCAAATGTATTACTCATTTTTATAAATGTATCCTTTATATCTTTAACTCAATATAGGGATGTTTCAGGATGGGAATTTACTCATTTTGAATCCATTATTTAGAAAGTGCATTGAAAATCTTAACAAAAATCAGTTGACAATAAAAAATAAGAATTTAAATCACATCTTTTGGCAGGTTCTTAACAATAAAGCCAGTCCTGATACCCACTTTGTTTTCTATCCTCAATCATACCAGATACATAATCATGAACAACAAAGGTTTATGGGGAGATACATTTTATTTGTCATCTTTGTACTATAGAAAGTCTTAACATTCTGCAAAATAAGTTTTTTTGGACTGAGAAAGGAGAAACACTGCAGGTTGCTTACTAGGGACAAAAGATAGTTATATTTAGTAAATAAAGATGATTAATTAAAAAAAAAAAAAAAAATCCACCCAGTATAACTAACGGTAACCTAACCTACACAGTGCACCTAATGTGTGTGGGAGCCTGGAGTGTCCCTTTAATAATATAAACCCACCCAGTATAACTAACTGTAACCAAACCTACACAGTGCATCTAACGTGTGTGGGAGCCTGGAGTGTCCCCTTAATAATATAAACCCACCCAGTATAAATAACTGTAACCTAACCTACACAGTGCATCTAACGTGTGTGGGAGCCTGGAGTGTCCCCTTAATAATATAAACCCACCCAGTATAAATAACTGTAACCTAACCTACACAGTGCATCTAATGTGTGTGGGAGCCTGGAGTGTTCCTTCAATAAAATAAACCCACCCAGTATAACTAACTGTAACCCAACCTACACAGTGCATCTAATGTGTGCGGGAGCCTGGAGTGTCCCTTTATTAATATAAACCCACCCAGTATAACTAACTGTAACCTAACCTACACAGTGCATCTAACGTGTGTGGGAGCCTGGAGTGTCCCTTTAATAATATAAACCCACCCAGTATAACTGTAACCTAACCTACACAGTACACCTAACGTGTGTGGGAGCCTGGAGTGTCCCTTTAATAATATATACCCAGCCAGTATAACTAACTGTAACCTAACCTACACAGTGCATCTAACGTGTGTGGGAGCCTGGAGTGTCCCTTTAATAATATAAACCCACCCAGTATAACTGTAACCTAACCTACACAGTGTATCTAACGTGTGTGGGAGCCTGGAGTGTCCCTTTAATAATATAAACCCACCCAGTATAACTAACTGTATCCCAACCTACACAGTGCACCTAACATATGTGGGAGCCTGGAGTGTCCCCTTAATAATATAAACCCACCAGGTATATTTAGTTGAATACACCTTTAAACATGTCACAGTCCCGTTACTCACCCTAATAAAGGATTTGAATGCCTCTTTTCCACTGAGCTGTAATATATTCCCCAAAAGAGGTAGAGGAGTGGGGCCAGGGGGCAGCCTTATCTTGTTTTCTTTCCTGCCTTGTATTAAATTAAAGAGCAGGAAAATCACACATGCTGACAGTAGCAAGGCTGTAACTCCGAGGAAGTCCATTTTTCAACTTTCCATTCCAGTGTTTAGTGTTCATGGATTTACTGCTGTTATATAGAGTCCGATAATCAGTCTCACATCTTACGTAATATCATATGTTTGCAGAACAGGTGAACTCAGTGTATTGACCAATGACTGACATGTTATTTAAACAAAATATTGTGTATAAGTAACCCAATCCTGTTTTTCTCTTAATCCTCTGAAGTAAAATGTGTGGTGAATTCCGACATAGTGACAGGTATGGGGTTTATACATAATAAGAACTTGGGAGTCACGTGTCCACTCTGGAATTAGGAAAGGCATAGAAAATCGTGTTTTTAAAAGGTGTTTTTAACATGTGTTTTTTCCCTTGTATGTACTAAGGTGCCAGAAACATTGAATTTGGATGAAGGTCTCTATATAATGAAGGCTAAAGACTCAGGTTATATATCTAGTGTGATTGAGTACTCTAGATATAGATAATGAATTTAGTGTGATTGAGACATTTAGGCATACATATTATGTATCTGTTGTGATTAAGGACAGAGGCGGCTCTAGACTTTATGAGGCCTTAGGCGAAACTCAAACATGAGGCCCCACTAACAAAAAAGAGTCACATATACACATTGATGCATAGTTTACCTGTGTATGTGCCTGAGAGCAGGGGCGGACTGACCGGTCGGGCACTTCGGACACGGTCCGAGGGCCCGGCCGGGAGGGGGGCCCGCCGCCAGGGCCACCTTCAGGGGGCCCGGCGGCAGGGCTGGATTGGGGACTTGAGCGGAAGGTGCCACCGGGTGGCCGGTCCGGTGGCACACTGTGAGGGGGGGGCTGCCGTTTGATGCTGGAGCTGCCGGACCGGGTGGCAGCCTCGCCGGTCCGGCGGCATTCCTCTGACTAACAGTGGAGGAGGAGCATGTGTCTATCATGCTCCCTGCGGTTCCCACAATTCCCAGCACAGGATGTGGGAACTGCAAAGGAGCATGATAGACACATGCTCCTCCTCCACTGTTAGTGAGAGGAATGCCGCCGGACCGGCGAGGCTGCCACCCGGTCCGGCGGCTCCAG